TAAAGTGTGATGTTGGAGGACATCTTTCTAAGGAGCTTTTATCTGTTGGTGGCATAAACAATACTGTGTGGGAACACGGACAATACAGAAAACATGGCTGTAGCCGGTAGCTGTCTGAGGGCCACAGAAGGCTGCAAAGAGTCGTCATTTTTTCTGGGCTATGATGCTTTTGTAGGTGCTTATCAGATGAGAGGGGAGAGAGTATCATGAGCATCAGCATCATGTGTGGAGGCAGAGGTGATGCAGTGATTTTCTTAAAGTACCTACTATGCACTAAGCGCTCCACACACAAGAATCATTTCTAAATTTGTACAAGAACACAGTAAGGCAGATACTGTCATTTACATTTTCAGGTGAGAAAACCATGTCTCAGTGTGGAAGAGATTTGCTCAAGTTCATACTGCTGTGGCAGAGCAGAATTATCTCCTAGCTTTTTGTTGTTGTTTTGTTTTGTTTTGTTTTGTTTTTTGAGGCAAGGTTTCTCTGTGTAGTTTTGGTGCCTGTCCTGGATCTCGCTCTGTAGACCAGGCTGGCCTCGAACTCACAGAGATTCGCCTGCCTCTGCCTCCTGAGTGCTGGAATTAAAGGTGTGTGCCACCGCCTCCTGGCCCCTCCTAGCTATTTTGGACTCTGACTTCCTTTCCTTATTGGTTCAGTGTACTGAGTTCCTCAGAATCCTTTAGCTAGTTGATAAAAATCTTAAAAGACTATAGAGAGATGGGGGCTGGGGAGAAGGCTTGGTGGTTAAGTGTCTGCCACATATGTGTGGCCTGAAGTTCAGATCCCTAGAACCCATGTAAATGTTATCTGTGTGTGGTGGCCGGCTGTAATTCCATTCCCTGAAGGCAGAGGTGGGGATCCTCAGACCAAGTGATCTAGCCAGACTAGCCATATCAGTGAGCTCTGGGTTTGATTGAGAGACCCTACGTCACTGTGTAAGACAGAAGAGCAATTGAGGATGATTCCTGTTATCAACCTTGAGCACCTCCTACATGCATACCTACACACACACACATACACATACACACACACACACAAACATGCACACTGTACTCATACGAAAAACTAAAAAGTAGGTCTGTATAGAGATGGAGGGCTGGTACCAAAGAAAGGCTCCCCAACCAGCAAGCATCACCAGTGTGCTTGTTATTGCCCTGGTGATTGTTGCTATGCGTGATTGAACCCAGACATCTCTTACTCATAAGCACCTTCAAATACCCAGCTAACTTCACTGAAGCTTATGATTAGGTCACACCATACAATACATTTGGTAAATAAGACAGGTAACCGATGCCTCTGGGCCAGCATGTTCTTTGTAAATCCAAGCCCTGTGTGAGCCCCGGTTAGCTTTGGGAGGTACTTGCTTGCTAAGCATCACATCGGGAGGAGGAGCTTATTTGTAAATTTAAGATTTAAGACTATCAAGCCAAGAGAGCTTTTGAGTATCCTGCTCTGCAGAGACAGAATTCAGTGGGCTCAAGACAAACCTGAGGCAGTAGCACAGGTCCATATGCAGGTGGATTATTAACAACAGTCACAACTGTGCTGATGGGGAACTCAGAAAGACAGCATGGATGTACAGGGGCTCAGTCAGTCCCACCGATCAGCTCCCCACAGCCTACATGCTCTCTCTCTTGAACTCACTCAATACCCCCACTGAACCCCACCACAGACCTTTCCCCCAGGCAGAGGAGGCATGAAGTTGCTTCCCCTGGCCCCATGGTTTCGAACCTGTAATGTTGCATTCATATGAAGAGCAAAGCTAACAACCACACCATTAGAGATGGCTGCAGGGTCCTACTTCACCAGCCCCCCCCCCCCCCCCGCCTCCCTGGTCTCCCTGCAGCTGCCTCCTTGACTGCTTCATTCCTGATGACACAGGAATGTGTCATGGCACAGTCACAGCTTTGTGCTTATGATTTCAGCTATGTCTGTGTAGATCAGCTAACCACTACTTAGTAAATCCTCGGTCTGCCTAGGTGACGTGTTTAGTATATCCAAACACAGGCATATGCATTCCTTTACAGACACACGTAGCAAATCCTGTTTAGTTTCCAACTGGTTAGCTCTCCTATAGAATGGAAATCCTCCCTAGTCAGTCACTGATCAGAACTAAATTAGGGAGGAATCCCCTCCAGGCACCCGTTCTCCGATAATCCCTACTTGCTAGTGTGGTATGTCAGTCCACATCCCTCTTGGTTCCTGTGGATGTGGTCATTCAGATTAAGGTTAAGCCATTCAGAGACAGGAGCTCCTTTTTCTATTTAGTGTGAACTTGTTTGTGCAGATTGCAAGACATCTGAGACTGAGATTTTCATGACCCAACCCTTAAAGGATGATCTTTGTCTTCCTCACTTCCTAAGTGTTTAATTGGAGAGCAGCTTAGTACAGAAGTCAAGACGTCCCACATCACAGCCTTGTAGCCAGTAACAGCTGGTAGAAAGAACTTTGTGGTTTAGTCCCACACCATGTCAGTGGGCAGTGGACTACTAAGCTGAGCTCAGCATTCTCATCTGTAAAATGGGGATAAGATCTCTCTCTTTTTTTTTTATTGCAAGTTGTTTTTAGGGAAATCTATGACATGAAAATGCTTTGTAAGTTTCAAGGCAATTTAAAAAGGTAAACAACAAGATATTTGTATGGCTTTTGTTTTGTTTTGTTTTGTTTTTTTTACAAGTGGATTGAAAATGACTCTGTCACTCAAAGATGTAAATGTGATATGTAGAATATTTCTAATTGCTTTGAAATGTGCACTAACCTCTTTGGTTAATCTTTCAGACCCCTTGGTCAATGGTGTTCTGGCTCACTTATGAAAAAATCAGAGAGATGAGTGGAGTCAGTCCATTTTAAGCCCTTAAAGCTAGAGGGCTCATTGTTACTGAACAAGGGCATCCGCAACACACGCCCCCTATTATTTCTACCTCTTTAGGAAGATACTTTACTCCACAGAGACTGCGATTTACAGGGGGCAGCGCTTTATATTTCTATGGACACCCGAGTTCTCTTAGATCCCACTCTTTCTCTAAGAGTGATCTCTCTGGTCCCAGTCTCTCAAGACCAACCACTGAGACCTAGCACAGCGTTTCCTGAAGAATGGAACCTGGACCACTTTGACCTTGGACCAGAAGGTTTAGACTTTGAGCTGCCGATCTCTGCAAAAGTATCTGCCTAGAGGAGTGCCAGAGGGAGCCGGCCCTCAGACCTGGCTAGACGTCAGCCATGTGGAAGACTGCGTAGTGCTTAGGAAACACATTTAACCTGTGCGCCAGTATTTATTGTTGCAGTGTGACAACTCACTTTTCTGTTATTAGAGTGCACATATCGTATACTCCAGAGAGGCGGGTGAAAATTCAAGAATAAACATTTTTGAGTTTCCCTAGTGCTGAAAGAAGTGGCTTTACCTTTTCTCCCAAGGAGGATGGAAAGATCAAAGAGACAACTTGAAGTGATGTTTGATTTGCAGGGAAAGAGGCTGCTTGCTGTCAGGGCCCACCTTTACAATGTGCTCACCCCTCCACACAACAGAACACAACAACAGTCACAACTGTGCTGCTGGGGAACTCAGAAAGACAGCATGGATGTACAGGGGCTCAGTCATGAACCTAGAACCTAGTAACTTCCCCTGGCAGCCACAGCCTGTCTCCGTGAGAGCAGATCACATGCCGTGTGTGGCGTACTCCATCACAACCCGCATTTGTCAGTAGCTCTGAGAATCGTAACACACGGAAACCACACCATGTTCGACTGAGATTCAGCTCTCAGGGTCATCTTATGGAGCACCTCGTAATGTCCTCAGCTCTTCCTGGGTGTTTTTGGAGCAAGACTGGCATGAAGGCAGCTCACACTGGTGTGTCTCCTTCTGTACCTGTCCCCTCTGTCCCAGAGAGAGGAGCACAGAGAGAGGGAGAGAGAGAGAACTCAGATGCCATTCTAGAACTTTCAGAAGCCCGAGTATTAGTCATTTTGAATCTTACTCATTCTTGCATAAAATGTGACAAGTGTATGCCATCTGTGGTACATCTCTCCAGTCTGCATCCCGTCCGTTTTCTGGTTATAGGAAGGTTTCTCCAGATTCACCTGCCCACAGCCGCTCCCCCAGCCTCAGACACGGCCTTTCAGGATGGGTGGCTGTAGCTAGGGCTAAAGGCTGGAGGTGTTACTAGGAAAACCCCGACCACTCAGGCCCAAGGTAGACCTCAGAGCCAAACTAACAGATGTCCTGATGGACGTAGATGCTCTTGTGCAACATGACTGTGGGGATGGATAATCACTGCCATTTTAAAGGAGGAAGCACACTTTTAAAGATCTTTCAATGTGCGTAGCCGTCTCATTTTTCTACTTGCAGAAGGTGGAGTTTGTGAAATCTCTTTATGTCTTCAGGTTGCCTACCTTTCCATTGCGTTTGTCAATCTGTAATTGAGTGGCTAGATATATATATATATATATATATATATATATATATATATATATATATAGTCCAGATCATACTAAATTATCTGCTTAAGTCCTCACATATTCTGCTCCACAATGAATCATTTTGGGGAAATTTTGGTTTTCCTATGTTTTGTAATGTTTATGACTAAGTAAATATGGAATTAAATAATTATATGAAAACTGGACTATTAAAAATTGGCCTAGCCTTATTCTTTTGGGGGCTTGGGGCTGAAACACTGCTTCTGTACTGACACGTTGTTCTTTGGTTTCTGAATCCGTGTGAATTTCTGAAACTGTCTGAAGTTATCCTTCAAGATCATCTGATTGAACTACGTCACTTTACAGATTTGGAAACTGAAGCCCAGAGAAAGGAGCTTGCTCAGGCTGCAAAGCGCAAAGGTCCTGACTGTTACGGGCATTACAACGGACCATCATTGTACACTGTTTAGGCGCCCAAGCAACTCTTGCGTCCATCTCACGACAACCCCATCTCGGATTCTTGAGTCATCCTGGGCTTTTTTTTAATGTTGATGTTGTTTATCTCGTACATTTTCAGTAAATCTGTGTTGCTTGCAGCACAAAGTTTAGGATTAGATGAACACTGAGACTCTCCATCCTTGGCTGTTTGCTGTGTCTCTAACTGATATCCCAGCACACCCATGGTTTACTAGCAAGCTTGGTTTACTAGCAAGCTTGGTTTACTAGCAAGCTTGGTTTCTCGGTACCCACTTGGAAAACGCTTGGTCCTCTCCAGAAGTGAACACAGCAGAAGAGTCCTGTCTGTCACCTTCTCACTTTCCTACTGTGGGACTCTGGGCACCTCTCATGTTCTCTGTGACTCGGTATTAAAAATTCTAGGCAGTTTTCTTTTCTTTTGCTTTCACACATTTTTTTCTCATCAAATATTTTTTTCTTCTTGAAAAAAATCTATACATTTTGTTACAAATAGTTCTCTGTTCTTTATAAGCAAATTTACAAGTATATCTAACTAAAGGAATAGCATTTCTTAAGACTGATTTTAGTTAGATATAATATGGATTTTTACTTATTTTTTTATTTTACACGTGTGGGTGTTTTGCCTGCATGTTTCTTTATGTACCAATTGCATGTGGTTCCTAAAGAAGCCAGAAAAGGGCACTGAATCCCCTGGAACTAAAGAGCCAAGTGGTTATGAGCTGGTATGTGGGGGCTGGGAATTGAACCCAGGTCTTCTGGAAGAGCAGCCATTGCTCTTAACCACTAAGCCATCACTCCAGCCCTAGGAATAATACGTGTTTTTAGAGAGCTTCAGGACCTGTTGGATTATAATCCTTCATGGGTAGGACTAGGTAGGTCTTCTGCTTTTATGTGAATCACTGCCCTCATTAATAGCTGTATCTTATTTATTTATTTATTTATTCATTCATTCATTTATTTGGCTGTCCTCAAAAAAATTGTTTATTGCTACATATAATTGTTTATTGCTACATACCATGTATTCGTTTTGTCTTCATTATTTTAAGACTGTAGCTTTCATGTAGGCCTCAAATGTCTCTTTTGCTGTGTTAATTTAAAAAGGAATTGAGAGAATTAAACTTTTTTTTCCCCTCCATGAACAAAACCAGATTCCTTCCAGGAATCTCTTGGGGAAAAATGTATAATTTTAATATTTGATGATTCAAATATGGGTTTTGACATGGCATGGTAGCACATACCTGTAATCCTAGCTCTCAGAAAGTGGAGGTAGGAGGATTGGAGTTCAAGGTCATCTTGACTGTTTGGTAAGTTCAAAGCCAGCCTGCACTACATGAAAGACCTTGTCTCCAAATAAAACAAAAATTGGCAAGTAAGCTGTTCTCTTCCTCGCTGTTAAACCGAAGCTCCTCTTCAGAGATTACCAGACAACCACGTATTGTTACTGAGTGCCAGTTAACATGGAAGGACGCCTGGCCCTGAAGTCTAAGAACCTCCCTCCAAGTCTGGGCTCTTCTTTTAACAGAACAGAACTTTGACATTGTGGTCTAGTCCTCCGCATCTCTAGGTGCCTGTTTCATTATAGGAAGATATAGACAAGCCACTGCCCTATAGGAAGGTCTAGACAAGCCACTGCCCTATAGGAAGGTCTAGACAAGCCACTGCCCTATAAGGTCTAGACAGGCCACTGCCCTATAGGAAGGTCTAGACAAAGCCACTGACCTATAGGAAGGTCTAGACAAGCCACTGCCCTATAGGAAGGTCTAGACAAGCTACTAATCTCTGTATGTTAACCCAGTCTGTATCTGATGGGCCATAATTTTGATATCCTGTTTTTAAAAGAAAAATACTTGCAATTAGATTTGCCTTTCCCTGAGTGTAATATTTCCTCATATTCCAAGATTAGAAAATGCTGTACTCAGACTTTGTAACATAAGCTGGTCTGTGTCACCATGGACTTTGTTTTTCTCAGGGTAATTTCTTTTAGTAATTGGGCTGCATCACATAGTATCACCTTCAGCTGCTCCTCCATCCCTACAATAAAGTTAAAATCTTCAGCGACGTGTTGAAGGCCCTCTCGCTCCGACTCCCGTTTGTTTCCGGCCTTTTCTCTCCCTGCATTCCCACCTCGGCCTCCTCTCAGCTGCACAGCACGCTGGTTATTTCCCTAGAGATGTGCTCCACTTGTCTGCACATCTTACAGCCTCCGCTCTGTGTCCTCCGCCTAACTTCCGTCTGATCACCCCGCCCATCCTTCATTTCGGATGGCTAGTTAGTTCCAGCTTTCGTCTATCAGAAGCTTTCAAGAGCTCTAGCACCCATGGGTCCCTTTGCTTCCTCTACTAAGTGGATAAATATGCCATTTTTCCCCTACACGGAGGAGCTATCTGGAAGCAAGGATTCTATAATACTTCTCTGGGAGCCACGTAGAAGATGTCTGTTAAATCAGAAGCGGTTTCTCTTTTTAAGGAAATGGAGAGAAAAACATTTATGGACAGATTATTGTATTTTATTTTCCCCCTCTCTTCAGAAAATAATGTTGAGTAGTGCCTTGAACTTCATTACTGTATTTACCAAATGCTCAACTTCCCACTGAAAAGATATTGGTGTCAAATGTATTATTTTTAAGAAATACCATCTTCATCACATGAAAACCTTCCATGACAGGCTGGCAGGATGGCTCAGTGAGTACAGGCACCCACTGACAAGGCTGACAGACAACCTGAGTTCCACCCTGGGACCCACATGGTAGAAAGAACAGACTCCTGTGACCTCCAAACACATACCATGACATACTCATATCCCCTCACATATCAAAAAAATAAAATGCCAGCTCGGCCTTTAATCCCAGCACTTGGGAGGTAGAAGCAGGTGGATCTCTGTGAGTTCAAGGCCAGCCTGGGCTACAGAGTGAGTTCCAGGAAAGGCGCAAAGCTACACAGAGAAACCCTGTCTCGAAAAACCAAAAAAAAACAAACAAAAAGTGCCTCCCATATAGGCTAAAATTGGGTAGTTTTAAATAATAGAACATTTAGTTATACGATAATACAATAGTTAGTTGATTAATAGCTAAATAAAGGTGTGATTATGTCATTCTTCGTTTTAGAGTGGGTCTGGAAGATTTGCCTTTCCTTTAATACAGACAAATGCATGTTTACCACCCCCCCCACCCCCCCACCCCCGCCAAGTGCCTTAGCGCTTCTGAACGGTGAGGAGTACATGATTATTTTTCTCTTCCCGTCCTTTACCCCCGACAGGCTGCTGTGATTGCCCACAGCAGCAGGAGCCACTTGGGAGGTCTGATTAAAGCAGGTGAAGATGCTTGAAGAGGTCTGTTTGCTGAAAATATCTGGTGCCAAACAGGAACACGTGAGTAAATAAAGTGTGCTGTTCTGAAGTTTAAAAATAAATGCTTTTAAATGCCTGATTGATTTAGTGGTTCTTTCCTATCCAGTTATGGCTTCAAGATAAAAACAAAAACTTAGAGATTTTTTTTACTTTACTGTTCATCGTGAAAATTGAAATTGGCTTGATTTGGAGTGTTGGGCTTGAGATATTTAATACTAGCCAAAGAGATAATTATATTTCATGGCTATAATTTTTGTTTTATGAGTATTCCTAGTTCCCCCAGTGATTCTGTGCACAGACTCCCTGGCAGAGGAATGGCAGTCAGCTGCAGAATGAGGGAGTCTTGACCACCACGTCGCCTTTGATTCCTGTGCCTCATCCGGTTCAGGATTGGCAACTCCTTTTCTGTCACCGTCACCTCTCCTAGCCACGAATTCCTTAAAGTTTTATTGTTCAAAGCCTGTTCACTTTCACTGGGAAGGAACACGGTCTCTGTGACTTCTACACTGAACCTGGCAATGCCGAACCATAGCAGGCATCCAATAAATCTGCATTTCACCTCTTCACAAGCATTCACATGTGTTTGAGAGACAGGGGAGGGAAGATGTGGAGACTGTTCTGTGCAAGCCTCTCGTCTTTGCGTGGCCTCCTCAGCCACTGCCACATTCACAAGTCTGAATGGTGATCTCAGCCCACAGCTTCTCCCTTTGTGGGTGAGCGCCTGCCTCCTCCCTCCTGGCTCACCTCTTCTATATAGCTGTGATTTTCTCAGTCTAATAATACTCTTTAATGACAACCATACAGTGGGTAGTCTTTTGAATTTTATTTTCGATCTCTTAGCTGAAAGGTCTTGGGTGGGGATTTAAGAGAGACCTTTGCGACAGGGTGTGACAGTGCAGAGGTTCCTCCGTCCTGTGTTCTTGCGGAGGCCATGCCAGGTTTAACTTGGCCCTGAGGTTAAGATGCCCCAGCGAACTTAGCTTCTGTTAAACGGCTTGCTTGTGCAGACCTTTGCCCTGCAGCAGCTGAGTGAGATGCCAGGATGTGGGTTTGGCTTTTAAAGGCCCTTTGGTCTAAAGGCTCAGGGCTACGCTTAGGTCCTGAATACCTGGATATAGTCTCAGCTGGATGGAATAAAGACTTTCAACTGGCTATAAACTGGCTGAGTGGTAATTCCTGGTGGGCTCCTTGTCAGTCAGTGGTTCCTAACCTTCCTAATTCTGTGACGCTTTAATACAGTTCCTCATTGAATCCCAGGTTATGGGGTATCTTCTGCCAGTTGCTACTTCATAACGGTAACTTTTCTACTGTTGTGAATCATAGTGTAAATATCTGATATGTAGGATATCCGATATGCAACACACACACCCAAGGCGTCGCAACCCACAGGTTGA